GTACGTGGGGCTGATGGGGTGTACGTGATGGGATTAGTTCAGGTTTCACAAGCTGTTTGACCTCATGTTGACATGAAATGAGGCTCTCATGTCAACTGAAATATGAATAACACTGGGTGGCTGAAATGAGAGTGGTACCAGGGTCTGGTCTGGTTCAGGAAAAGCCATGAATTCAGCTCTGGAGCTGATAGTATTGGTGGGGCCAACAGCACGTGCATTGGGCCCCTTTCTCTCTTTGTCCATCAGGTTTGCTGTGATAAAAGACTTAAAGGTAGGGTAGGTAAGAACGGAGAAACCAGCTCGAGTGCGCTAGAATTTGAAAGTACGCAGCCGGAAAAAATCTGCCCCTTCAGACTTCCTTCCAGAGCCCCTCCTCCAACACAGACGAACGTGCACATGACCAATGAGGGCATGAGATAAGTTTGTGCACAGATGGAAGGCTGACAGGCAGGTAGGCCATCCAGTTATCTGCCGAGGCAGATAACTGGACTAGCTTTTTACAGCGCCACGGCTTCCACAGATGAAATATTTGTATGTATTTTTTGTCAAAGCATTTAATGTGTTCCTTGCTATCGGGATGTTAAGAGCATTCCATGGAATGTAACAAAAAGTGTTTCTGAAGTGAATTACCTACCCCACCTTTAAGCTTTTAATCAGGGGTTGAGATTGATCAATTTATTGTTTATTGGATCTGGACAAAAGCGTCAGCTAAATGCAATGTAATCTAATAATCCTAGACCTTCTCCAGTCTAGTCACACTAACACTCAGTGTGGTGCCTGATCATTTGTGAGTCCCTGAGTGTGTAAATGCAGTGGTGGTGTCTGACAGCACCCCTTCTTATGAGAGAGCCACGCTGGCCTGAGGACAATCCTGCATGTTGTCATGCCTTTGCAATGAGAGCTCTGGCAGCTCCCACAGCCCTGCAGCTCAAGTTGTAGAAGTTGTGAGCAATGGCAGAGATGCAAAACATCAAGCTGCACAGTGTGAGCTGCTGCCTCCCTCCAGGGAATGCCAGTGCTGCTGTGAGATGGACAGGCACTGCTGGCTGAGGAGGAATCTGCCCACCTCTTTTCTTTTTCCTCCCTCTTTAACCCTTTCCCCACAGCCCTTAAATCACCACAAGCCTGTGCTCCTCTGTTCCCTCACTTAAACCAATTCTCTTACACTGTACTGTATTATATTTGAATAGAATGGAAGTCGAATAAAAATACTGCATTTTTCAGCTTTTTTAGGGCATTTGCATGAAGTAATGAATCCATGTCAAGGAGTTTGAAAGCCTTTGTTGCATCCTTAAGCCCAAATCCCCTGTGCCCCCAGTCTCTGAAATGTTACATCCCTGCCCTGATGAGAGACAAAATGGAGATCAAATAACCACAGTAGGGCTCAATTCTGTGCCTGACAGACTGATCAATTTGTTTTGTTTTTGCAGCAGCATACCAACCGAATAGATCTCGTAAAGAAACACAGCAATATTTTGTCAGGAAGTCTTGTGGGTGGGCTGTGTTTTGTTGCTGCTTTGAGGCTTCGCAGCAGCCCAGCTGTCTGCTTAATAAAAGCCCATTCACTCTGGTGTGTAACTCCTCTCCTTCTAACAACTAACACCAACCAGCGAAGGCAATATCATAATAAATAATTCCTTACATTTATTCTAGCGCTTCTTCCAGATGCTCAAAGCGCTTTACAAATACACATTACACATGTTTTTTATACATGCAATGGTAATATGAATGAGTCCCCACTAGGTTTCTCAGCCCCTCTGTCTTTCTTCTCTTATTTCCTTTCTTTCCATATTTCTCAGTCCGTCTCTCCGTCTGGCTGAGGGTCTCACTGCCCTGGCGTTCCCGTTCTGTTGTAACTAATGTGATTGACAGGACCATGTGCCAAAGAGCTGGAGAGCAGTGCAGCTGGAAGTATATCATCTGCAATTTTAGTTGGGTAAATATAGCAGGGAGTCTTGTCAAGCAGAGAGATAAATTGTTCTGGGAAAGGAAGTCTTGTCTCACTTTTCTTCTGCTCCTGGAGAATGTAAGGTCGTCTCCCCGCTCCTGAACAATGAGAGCACAGTTGACGCAGACGGGCCAATGATGGACCATGTGTTGTGATGCTTCAGCTCCACCTTGCTCCCAGGAAGCAGGGGACTTTCCTCTGATTTAAATGGGATGGTTTGGGTTGAGCTTGATATCTAATGCCCCATCCCTAACCTCATTAGACCCATATCATTGAGTGCTTTCCACAGCTTTGTGGCCAGCATCTGTCTTTAAATATGTACTGGCTTAGAAAAATATATTTTGTTCTGTCCTACAAGGTTCTTTGGTTTACATTTAAATAGTAAAATAGTACATAGGTTTAAACTTTGAGTAATAATGACACGTATGCCTTGTTCCTTTAATACGTTGTTGCTATATATTGTGCACAACTTAATATTAGTGTGGTTATTATTTTGAATATGTTCATTTATTGTTTAACCTTAACAATCCTTCAGGTGTGATTTGACTTCACAAGTGCTAGTTTGTGAGCAGTAGCTTTTTAGATGACATGAATAGGCCATCTGGATTGTGTATAACAGGGTCTAAACTGGAATAAAAAACAAGCAACTGATGTAGGACAAACTGGCTTTTATTTATTTATATATATATATATATATATATATATATTGATTATCAACTAACAAAGAAAACAGAAATAGTGAAAGTATTATTGTACTAAATGTTCTGGAACTTTGTATTGATCTGCAGCTGTAGTATTTCCCTCCCACCTGACACTGGCAGGGGGTCTCTCCTGTATACCATTTTCATCGCACAGACAAATCTCTCTCAATCTCTTGTTGAATAATTCTATGAATTTATTTTATTGCGGGACTATACCTCAGAGAGTTAGAAAGACCGGAGAACCGCCTCTCAATCTGACATACATACCTTTCCCTCTATCTTTTTTCAGTTGGACCTCTTTTATCCAGAAGTCACTCAGCTTCTTAAATCTCCAATTCTTTCCTCCCATCACCCCCCCTCTGCTGCAGCGAAGGTCAGATTTTTGACAAGTCTGCAGAAGAAACAGTCTGCTGCTAAATCCCTTCATTTGTATTCATACAAATACAGGTTTAGAGCCCCTTGCAGCCCCCAGGTACAAAGCCAGAGTGGCCTTTTGACTGACAGCTTTCTCCTTTTCATCCAAACACTAACGAAATTCACAAGCACACCTCTAATTGACTGTAATCACCAGCACAGCACCGGAGGTAGATATCAGGGGGCATGGAGTGAACATTGTAGAGGATGATTTGATTACTCTCCTGCTGACCTTTACAATAATTACCCTGGTTTCCCCAAAGATAAGCACAAAGCAAAGCTCATTCTGCATGGAATAGTAGAATTATTGCAGAAAAATATATATTTTGAATTACATAGTTTGAGGCCCCGATGTGTAATGCTCGTTGTATGCACTGTTTTTTCTTTTTTGTTGCAATAAAAAGGTGCTCAGTGGCAGCGGTATAATGATACCAGGGTTTCCCACACAGACTTTACTTGGGTGGGCCGCCCAGGTATATTAACGGCCGCCAAAGTATACTTCGCGACCCATTTCATTTGTTTTTTCTCTCCGTCCGCGAGCACGACCCCATCTGCGATCGATTAACAAGTGGACGATGATCCCTCGCTTTACGCCTCCTGTACCTGTTCGCTCTGCTGTCATGGGAAGGGTCTGCTAACAAGCCACCAACAGAAAGGTTCATGTTAATGTTGTTGCACGTCACAAAGCCAGCCACCTCCCCCTCCCCCCCGCTACCACCACAAGTATATTTCATATCTGTGGGAAACACTGATACTATGATGTTTTGAATATATTTCCTTCATGTTTTCACAGTCTAATCCATGCATTACTGACAACCTCACTAATTCATCACATTTTGCCGTCATGTCAGTCATCAGGAGAGAATGCACACATGCCGTCTCTGTGTTATTTCAAGGTCAAGCGTGAGTGTGTGTTGTCTTGGTCCCCAGCTGTAGTCAGGCAGGCGCTGGTGGGCCTACAGCCCCAGCACTTGGGATCTAGTTGTGGCCTTTTACCCCCCCTTACACCCTCTCACCCCTCCCTTCCTCTTTCCCACCACCTGATCTTCACACATATATCACTCCCAATTGAACTGGCAGAAGGCAGCTGGTAAATGCCGAGGAAGAGGAGCCATAATTCATGTCGCTCAGCCACTTATGTAAATATGTTTACTCATGGAGGCATTCTGAGCAAGGATAATCTGACTCACGGCAATTCTTTACATGTCTGCCCCGCTGTCTTCAAGCTTTAACCATGAGATCAGGGGTTACATTTTCAGTCCTGCTGTCAGTTATTTTTATGACATGGTCAAACGACAATAAACTGTGTTGGCGGAGATGTCACTTACATTAATGTCAGTCAGATTTATAGCCTCAGGTTGGGTCAACATAGGGTGTTTCTCAATGTCGAGGACGCTTCCTTGTCTTACGAGTCAAGTCCATCAGAGGCTAGGCAAGAATCCTTCCTGGCATTTGGAGAACGAAGAATGGAACAGGCTAGCAAGTGTGCAGGCGTCATATGAGAGGCCCGCCTTACATTTTCCGCCAAAGATTTGGGAAATTGGTCCGTGCGCAAAGCATTGTGGGGATTTTAAGAACGCGGAGGCTACACATGTGCAGCCTCAAAATTTCCTGCAACAAAGTGCGCTGGCCTCTGTAGAATTCCAAGCATCCTGGACATTGGAGCAGTCCTTCGGCGAGACTCGATGACGCAGTATCCTTGAAATAGTGGCTCTGGAACCGGTTTCCTCGACATTGAGAAACACCCATAGTCTCAGATAAATTAATCCCTTAATATTTGTACATGCACAGAGAAAACCCTGATTATTTCCACTATTGATTCATTAGATCATTTCTTTGGATCATAACATACTAAATTAAAGTTAGTATCTTCAAATTGGTTGTTGCACTGAAAACCCCAAAGATATTTCATATATATATACTAAAAAAAAGCAGCA